TGTGCCTGCAACCAAGGTACATGTCCTTGACCAGAATCGAACTGGGACCCTTGAGTCCACAGGCCGACGCTCTATCCACTGAGCCAAACCAGTCAGGGCTCTCCTGTCTGTCCTTGATCTAAAAGTGGCCTCTTTCAGGCTGCAGGAGCCACTCCGAGGTTCAAGTCTGTGGGGCTTACAGCCATCTCCTTGTTCACAGTCACACTCATCCCGGGCTTAGGCACAGTCTCGGAGGGGCTGGTGGCAGCTCTCTCTGCTCCCCCTCCGTCACTGGAGACCCACACTCGCCCCTGGCACTCTCTCCTGCCTTCCTCGAGGCCAGAGTCTGGGATGATGCCCGGGACCACTTGATCCTCCCTGCTTCGAGCCTGGTGCTGAACGCTTGCTCAGGGCACTGAGCCAGAGTCCTTAGAGAATATCATGCGGGGACTCCCGGGGGCTCGTCCAGGAGATGAGGAAGGAGATCAACCTTTCTGAGCGCCCACCATGTGCCTGGCGCTGTGCTGGCTGGAGGAGGGGGGAGGCGCGTTTCACAGCGGACACTCGGGTGCAGAGAGAGACAGCGGTGTGCCCGGAGCCTCCGCTCCCGGGTGACGGCTGCCCAGGGCCCGGGGTTCCCTCTGCGCCAGCTCCTCAGAAGCTCATCTGGGAAAGATGGTGGCGCTGCCAGGCCCAGGCAGAGCTAGCAGGGCGGCGTCTCGTCTCCGCGCAGATGGTCAAGGCAGGTGGGGGCAAAGGAACCACAGGACCTGCAGCCCAGCACGAGGTCCAGAGGCGACAAGAAAAGTGGCAGAAAAACAACCCGCCGGAGCGGGATTTAACGAGCCGCGCCACCTCATCCCTCACATGTGCGTTGCACGTTTCAGTGTGCATCGGGCTTTCACTTCCCTTATCTCAGCGGGCCTGTGGCCCGCCAGAGGCCTCGGGCGCGGAGGTCGGGCCGTGGAGGGTGTTGTTTACAACTGGCCCAGGATCTCGGGACAACCTGGACACGCACAGCAAGCTGCGGGCCTGGGCTTCTGAGTCGTGTCCCCTGGATGGATTGTTCCCGGGGAGACAGGCTGGTAGAAGAAGAAGGGATGAGAGCCAAGGTGTGTCCAGCAGCTGTGGGAAGCCCGGGTGCTTTCCTGATCGGCCATCTCAGCTGGAAATAACTCTGCTCCTTTCCCCTTATTTGTGGCTATGTGTGGATGTCGTATTCCCCTTAGGGGACTGTAGGTGCTTTGAGGTGGATTCATGCCTTCCATTCACTCACTCATTCATTCATTCTCTTATTCATGTACAAACTGATTCAACAAGCAGTTGTTGCTCCTTCCATATGCCAGACACTGTACCAGGCAGATGGACATGCAGGCATGCCTAGAGAACAGCAGGCATGATCCTTTTTCCGCTGGAATGCACTGTCTAACCAGGGGTCCTCAAACTTTTTAAAGTGGGGGCCAGATCACGGTCCCTCAGAGAGCTGGAGGGCCGGACTATATGAACTACTAATTCCTACTGTAACACCTCGGCTGCGCTCACTGCCCAAAAAACCTGGCGGGCCGGATCAGACTCCTCTGCAGGCCGCATGTGGCCCGCGGGCCGTAGTTTGAAGACGCCTGGTACGCTATGGGAAGAGAGACAATAGCAAATGAATACATACAGAACGGTAAAACCCATATAGACATTTCCCATAGGGAAAACTGCCATGAAGGAAATGGCTAAGATAGAGGGGTGAGAGAACAGTCTGGGGGAGTGGGGGCGGGGGGGGGGAGGGAGGACTGCAGCTGGCATGGTCCCAGGCTCAGGAACTCGGCCAGCACCCACTGCGTGGACTGAATGGTTAGAAGGAAAGAGCTCAGCTACCCACCCGGCCAGGAAGGACAAGGCAGGCCACGCTGTGTCTCGATGTCCTTCACATAGTGCAGTGATTTAAAATGACAAGTAAAAACAAACAAACAAAAGAAAAACCAAGAGCAGGATCTTGCAATGTACGGCAATCCTCATGCGAAACGTTTAAATGGAAAAACCAGACACCAGGCGGGCGTGCGGATGCTGATCCCAGTGCACGCACAGTCCACCCGGACCCACAACGCTCAGGATGAGAGCCCTAAGCAGGACCTCGCGAGGGGCCAGCCCTCCCACTCGGGCCACGTGAGAAAGGGGTGTTAGTGTCTCTCTTTCTCTTCCTTTGAAATTTGCATTAGGATCCACTGAAACGTGTTTTCCCAGACTACTCTGACCCTGGGGTTTGATGTTTGTTGCGTTTCCCGGTGGGAGGTCTGTGGTGCTGGTGGTGGTGGTTGTGTGTGTTTACAGCCGAGTCCCCGGCGGGTCCCTGAGGGCCATCGCCAGGTGCGGCGCGGGCAGCAGGGGCCCAGGCGGGCAGGTCATCGCCGTGAGCCTGGATCTGAGGTTGCCCGAGGAGAGCCGGGCACGCGGGGCAGGATCCTGCGCCCGCGCCCCGGGTGCGGAGACGGCGTGGAGGCCCTTCACAGAGGACCCCGCGGGCCCCACACCTGCCCGGGACCCACCCTCCCTGCCAGTGACACCCTGATAGGGGCGGCTCTTCGCGTCTTGTTTTGTTTTTCTCTCACCTCCAATCTGCTGGAAAAACACCCAAACCCCCGGTCCGAGGGGCCCAGGCCTCGCAGCACCTGCAGCGAGAGGGCCGGAAGCCGAGTGCGCGAAGGAGGAAGCAGCCTGCGCTTGCCCCAGGGCCCCAGGGCCCCAGGGACCCTGCTGGATTCCCCCAGCGGGCAGTGGGGCAGGTGCCCACCCTCAGGGCTGCATTCTGGGAGGGCGAGGGCCAAGCAGCGGCCCGGCCAACACTGGGCTCCTGGAGGACACCAGCTGGGCCCTCGGCCCGCCAGGGGGGAGCGGGGCCTGGGAGCTCTGGGGCCTGTGAGCGAAGGCAAACTGACGCCGAGGACAGCCCTCCCAGGGAACACTGAGCAAGATCATGTAAAGGGCCGAAACCGGTTTGGCTCAGTGGATAGAGCGTCGGCCTGCGGACTACAAGGTCCTGGGTTCGATTCCGGTCAAGGGCATGTACCTGGGTGTGCAAGAGGCAGCTGACGGATGATTCTCTCTCATTGATGCTTCTAACTCTCTATCCCGCTCCCTTCCTCTCTGTAAAAAATCAATAAAATATATTTTAAAAAGAAAAGAAAAAGAAAAAGCCCCCCCCCTTTTTTTTTAAAGACCATGTTAAGGGGCTTGGAGGTGCTCAATGAAATCGAATTGGCGTTAAGCGGTGCTCAATTTGTCAATATTGGGGGAGGGGGGCGGGCAGTAAAAGACTTTGGTTCACGCTCTGAATCTTGGTGGTGGTGGTGGTGGTGGTGAGACAAACCTGCCTGCGTGCTACAAACCGCACACCCACGGAAAGGAGAAAAACAAAGCCACTTTTGCTGTCGGATAGTTTGAAAACACAAACAGCACCTGCTCAATTCCCTGCCCTCAGCCAAGATTCCTTCCCACCTTTGTTTCCGCCGCCCAAGTCAGACGTGACGGCACCTCAAAACAGAAAAACAGACCAGGGATGGCTGCTCATCGCCACCGGAAGGCAGAAGCCCTGGAGGGGGGCGTGTCTGGCGGAGCCGGCAGGCCTCGCTGCTCAAGTGACTCTCCGCCAACAACACTTCAAAGCGCTAGGGAAGCTCAGTGACTCAAAGAAAGCTATGAAGCTGCTTTTCGGCAAAGCCAAGGCCCGGTTCACTCAGGTCGCCCCTGCCCCGAGCAGGGGGAGACCCCGCGGCGGGGAGAAGTGAAGGCTGCCCCCGCCCCCAGCCCGGCTGGGCTGCCCGGGGTCCCTGGTGGAGGCAGGAGGACAGAATTAGTGCCACTATGCAAAGCAGCTGCAGAGGAAGGGCTCCAGCTCAGTGGAGGCAGATGCCAAAACAAGCCAGTTCCCTGTGGCAGCCCAGAGAGCGGGAGGGAGCAGGCCCGGCCCGGCACGGCCCGCACGGCGCAGGCTGGCTCCACGCGGCATCGCTGAGCCATGGAGAGCTGCACCTGGAGCCCCAGGGCGGGGCCTTCGCCACAGGGGGAAGCTGCTCTCCCGGGCCCCACACGCTGGCCTTGGCTCTCCGGCTCCCTGAGGGCAGGGCTGGCTCCCGCCTGAATCCAGAGCGTGAATGGCAAAGCCGTGTGTGAGGGGCTCCCCAAGGGCAGCCGGAAGTGGCGCGGCCCGGCTGTGCACGCTGCCATGGCCTGGTTAATTGCACTTTGCGAGCTGCTCCCACGCACCCCGGCAGCTGGCGGCTCTAATTGGCAGGACCCTGGGGACCGTGTTGTGGGGACCTTGCAGGCCTCAGGGGCTTCGGAGGTGATGATTGGAAAATGAAGGGGTCACCTGACTAAGGCACCCCCAGAATGTGCCACCACAAAGCCTCCCTCTCTGGGAGCCTCTCTCACGTGGCTCTGGGTCAAACAACAAAAAATAAATAAAGTAAATGTGCAGGCTTAGTGGGGGCCAGCGGGGTGGGGGTGGGGGTAGAGGCAGGGGAATCCCTGCCCTCAGGCAGCTTCCAGCCTAACTGGAAAACAAAGCTGGTGTGGGCAGCAGGGGGGCTGTAGCTCAGCCACAGCTGCAGAGGCTGGGGCCTGGCCAGGGAGGGGCAGGGACTGGGCACACTGGGAGGGCTTCCGGTAGGTGGAGGACTTGAAGGACAGTACGATTGGGATGGGGAGGGGAGGGAATGCTCCTTCAGGGCTGAGATCCCTGCCCCCCAGAGCAGGACTCAAGCACTGCTGGTTGGCTGCCGGGAATCTCAGGAGAAGGGCCAGCCCAGTCCATCTTTCTCCAGCTTCGCTGGGCCCTGCTGGGGTCAGAGCTGGGGGCTGAAGGAGGACATGTCCCAGCTGACCTTCCGAGAGAAGTAGCCAGTGAGCCCAGGAGAGGTCCCTCAGCCCCATGGGAACTGTCCCCGCCCACCCACAGGTGCAAGTGCCAGACATTTGTGATCCACCAGACACTCTCATCCACCCCGCACTCAGAGATGTCACAGGCCGGGGTGTGGTTTCGTAAGACACGCTGTTTATTCCGTGGGAGAACAGGCTCGAGGCTGGGAGCCCCGGGGTGGGAGGGGCGGCAGAGAGCAGGAGAGGGATGAAGCCTCGGTGGCCCATCCGTGGCCAAGTCGGGGTGGGCCAGGGCCCTTCCCAGGCTTCCTAGGAAGCTCTCTGCTCTGAGTCCATGTGCAGGGTCCGGACCAGTCCACGCCTTCCCTGTCCTCAGCGCAGGTGGGTCCCCGCATAGCACCCCGAGGAAGCTGGGCCCAGTCTGTCACCAGAGAACTCCCTGCTGCAAGTCACTGACCTGTGGCCCTTCCACTCCAGTCCCTTTGGCGAGAGCCGGGGGCCGGGGGCCGGAGGGGCAGGCAGATCTGGTGGGCCGGCTCGGGAGGCCAACAGGGGGTCCAAGGGAAAGGGGATGGACTGGGAGCCGGGCGGCTCTGAGGCAGTCAGTGAGGCCAAGGGGCTGTGCCCAGGGGCCTGGGGAGGGCTGGCCTCACTCCTGGCCTGGGTGCTCACCCACCGACCACTTCACCTCCCCCGTCCGCAGAGTCACTATGTCCTCGTAGGTGGCCGTCTGGTCAATGTTCAGGCCCTGGAGACAGGGAAGGGAGCTTAGGCCTTGGCCACTCCCCAGCCACGCCAACAGAGGGTGCTGCGGCCCACCCTGCTCCTTACCTCGTAGGTGTGGTCTTCCTCCATCCCGGCCTTACTGTCATCCTGGAGGGGGAGGGAGGGGCGAGAGATGGAGAGCAGAGTGTTGGCTCTGGCTGGGCCAGGATGGGGAGGGCCAGGGAGATTGGCCTGGGGTCAGGGGTCAGGGGTCAGGGGACAGGAGGTGAGGAACTCTCTGCACGAACAACTGAAGGCGGGAAGGAATGATGGCAGACTCTGGGGCTGGGAGGGGGAGACCCTGTCCTTGTCTGGCCTGCCCGCGGTGGCCTTCCCGCCCCTGGGTCACCTTGTCCAGCAGCAGGAAGATGGGCACGGTGATGAAGAGGATGATGAGCAGGGTCTGGATCATGATGATGCCGTCTTTCAGTGTGTTCCGCCGCTTCAGCTGGTTCAAGGAGCTGAACCCTGGGGGGCGAAGGGGGGCGGGGACAGTGAAGCTGGAGCCACACGGGGGCCTGCACCCCTCGCGGCTGTCCTGGGCGCTCCAGAGCCACAGCCTCCTCCTCAGTGTGGCCCCTCCCTGTGGATGGCTCCTGAGCACCCGCGGCCCCGTCCGCTCCCACTCCCCTCCCTGCTGGCGGGCGGGCCCCGCACCCACCCATGACTCGGAGCTCGCTGCCGCCGCCATCCTCCTGGACCCCGTCCGCACGTGTGTGCCGACAGAAGTAGATGCCGTTGAACTCGGACCCGATGTTTTTAATGGTGAGGGTGGCGTTGGACGGGCCCTGGGTCTGATTGAAGTGTTCCGGCTTCGCGGGCAGATTCTTAGGCTCCGAGTCCATATCCTGTTTCCAGAGCCAGCTCACGTTGCCCGTGACCTCCAGGAAGCAGACGATGTTCACGTTGCTGTTCCGTTTCCTGGCCATGAAACGGGGGGACTGCCAGATCGAGGAGCAAATGCCTCCTGTGGGCGACAAGGCCAGGATCAAAATCCACCTTTCCCAGCCTCTGGCTGGCGGTCAGCCCTACTATGGACGCCCCCTCCCCCTGCCCCCGTGGGTAGCACCTGCCCCTGGTCCAGCCCCCTGGTCTGCCCTTGCTTCCCAGAGTGCGGGACCATCAGGAGGCATTGGCGTCGGGGAGCGGAGCCACGTGAGAGGCCACAGGCCAAACCACCAGGCCCACCCCTTCCCGACATCGGATGCTCCTTTATTATTCATTTATCCTCACCTGAGACTATGTTATATTTTCCCATTAATCTTTAGAGAGAGTGGAAGGGAGGGGGAGAGACACAGAGAGAAACATTGATGGGAGAGAGACACATCGACTGGTTGCCTCCCACGTGTGTGGTGCCCTGACTGGGGCCAGGGATGGAGCCTGCAACCGAGGTACATGTCCTCGACTAGAATCAAACCCGAGGCCCTTCAGTCCTTGGACCGACGCTCTATCCTCTGCACCAAACCCGCTAGGGCTTGATGTTCCTTTAGAAGCGCCCTGGAACCTTCGGTTCCTTCCCATGCCCATTCCAGCAGCCTGAACCAGGCCTCACCCCCAACCCCCACCCCCAGCCTCCCACCTGGCCCGTACACCCACCGCCCCCTGGCCTGGGCTGCCCCACTCCGTCTGAAACCCTCAGGGACGTCCCACGGCAATGAGGGCCCCACATTGATCCCAGGACCCCCTTTCGTCCGTTACCTCCCTCTGTCCCGCTGCGTGGACCTGCTCTGCTTTTTATTCCCAAACCTTCTTTCTCCGCTTGGCATGCTCTCCCCACCCACCCGCCTCCCTGGTCCCAGCGAGAGGCCCCCCTCGGAATCCGAGAGCCCCTAAGGTTAGGGGTTCCGTCTGGGGCTGAATCTGACCCCCCGGCTTGACCAGCCCAGTCCCTCAGGCGCGGGCCTGGGACACTGAGTCTCGCGGAGATGACAGCTGGCAGGGAGGGGGGTGGGGGGCCTTGGAGCCAGGCTTTGGAGGGGAGAAGAGCAGGCTAGGGCTGGGCGTTCCGGGTAGCGAGGCCCAGGGGACAAGGGCACAGGGTCAGGCAGAGGACAGTGAGTGGCACAGGGTCAGGCAGAGGACAGTGAGGAGCCCTGGACAGGCATCCTGCCCTCGGAAGGGCCGGGGGAGGTTGCTGACCTTGGGAATTCCGAGGCGCGTCCTTAGGTCCTGCGAACACAGGCTCACCTGCGGGTGGGGAGGAAGTGGGCGGGCCAGGTCAGGACCTCTCCCCGGAGCTGGCCACCCTCCACCCTCAGCATTCTCAGAGGCACTTCCTCCTCCCCACACAGCGGCTGTAAGACCCCTCAGCCCTCCCCGGCCCCCGCTCTGAAGACCGGAGTGGGGTGGGGTCCCCAGAAGGCCTGCCTCCCAGCCCAGGCACCTGGATGAGGCCGGAGAGAGGTCAAAATCACAGAGCTCTCCGGCCCTCCGGGGAGGTCATCTCTGGGACAGGTACGGCCCAGGGTCTGGCCAGGGCAGCCTCTCCCCGCCTCCCCCCACAGTGTCCTCAGGGGTGAACCACACTCCTCTCCTCTCTTCCTCCCGGGCCTGGCTCTTGTGTGGTTAGAACCACCAACCCTGCAGGCCTGGCTCAGCCGGGCAATGCAGACCGGAGCGGGGCGGGGTGGGGCGCAGATCCCTGCGTTCGCCGCAGACCCCGGAGCCCGTCCCCACGCACTCAGGCCCCCGGGCAGCAGAGGGAGACCGACCGAGGCGAGGCAGAGAGTGTGAGGAGGAGGGCGGCGAGAGCAGAGACAGCCCCGGTGGAAGGAGAGTGACGGAGAGTGAAAGCGGCAGGCCCGGTGGAGGGGCTGTACCTGACAGAAGCACCAGCAGCATCAGCAGCCCGTTGCTGGGCACAGGACGCAGCGCCAGCCTGGCCATGGCCGCCCCTCGGTCTCGGATCCCAAGCCCGCGATGAGGACAGAGGCTCCTGGAGGGAAAGCGTGTAACTGCCTGGGCTGCAGCCTGTCCCCTCCCCGCCTCTTCCCCACCCGGCCCCTTCCTGCCATGCAAATCGGGACCCTGGGGAGGCACCCACTCCCTCTGGGGACCCTGCGGAAGGGCGGGCTCTCTCGTCAGCTGTGCTGCTAAGGCTCAAGACTCACCCCAGCTTGGCAGCACAGCTCAAGTCTGCAGTGGGCACCCTGGGGGGCCGGGACCTCCGAGTCTCCCGAGAGCGGCTGTCCTCGGTGCCTCCACCCTGCTGGTGCCCGGGGACCTGCAGCCTGGTTCCCGGGCTCTGAGCTGAGTACACATGGGACCCGTAGATGAATGTGAGCGTGACCCCCCCCCCCCCCCCCGGCCCTGGACCAGCCTGCACCCTTACGGAACAGGAGCACCAAGAAAGGACGGTGTGGGCCCCAGCTGGTTTGGCTCAGTGGGTAGAGCCTCGGCCTTTGGACGGAAGGTCCTGGGTTCGATTCTGACCAAGGGCACATGCCCGGGTTGCGGGCTTGATCCCCAGTTGTGCAGGAGGCAGCCAATCAGTGATTCTCTCTCATCATTGATGTTTCTATCTCTCTCTCCCTCTCCCTTCCTCTCTGAAATGAATAAAAATATATTAAAAAGAAAGAAAGGGAGGAGGGAGGGAGGGAGGGAGGGAAAGAAGGAAGGAAGGAAGGAAGGAAGGAAGGAAGGAAGGAAGGAAGGAAGGAAAGATGATGTGAGTGATGGGGAACAGCCACGGGCCCAGGCCAGGCACTGGGAGGGCCCAGAACACAGCGGCTGGGCTGGCGTGAGGCAGCCATGTCAGAGGTGACCCTGTGGAGACGTGACCCTGTGGAGTAAGGGAGCCACAGCGGCTCTAGGGCGAGAGCAGGCCGAGTGCGGCAGCCCCTGGGGAGGAGCTTTGGTCCAGGCCGGGTGTGAGGCCTCTTCCCTCACTCACTTGGTGGGGGTTTGCGGGGAGCTGCTGAAGGGGTGGACTTAGGCGCAGGCGGCTTAGAGAACACCCACCACGCAGCCTTCGGGGACCCCCGGGCAGGAGTGTGTTCGTCGTTCCGGGTGTCCTTGGGAGGGGGACAGACAGGGGGTGACCGCTGGGAAGCCTCAGGATCGGAAACAACAAGGCTCTCCGGCTTTATGTCACCAGCCAGCAGAGGGGTGGATGGGCGACCGTGGTCAGGAACATGTCTGACTTGGTAAGCGTGGTGCCCGAGGGCCCGCACAGCCTGCGCCCCTGAGCGGCGGAGGCAGGGGGCACACTGTGTGGCAGGCTTGCACCCCCGCCTGCAGCCCAGCCCATCCGGGCTTTGTGTTTCCCGGCAGCCTCTTCTCTCTCCCGTCCCCTCTCTCTATCCTCCTGACCTCCAGGAGGGAAGACAGGTGCCTCGCACCCTCTGCCTGCGTCTCATTCTCCCCCCCACCCTCCATCCCCCAGCAGCCTGTTTGGGCTCCGGGAGCTGTGGCCCCGCCTCTCACGCCAGGCTTGGCAGTGAGGAAGGCAGGGGTCTGCGGGCTGCCCGCTCAGCCCCAGGCCCGGCCTCGCCTGGTGCAGCAGGGGGCTGCCCCCGAGGAGCCGGGGCCAGCACCCACGCCACGGAAAGTGGGGACAGGAGGGTTTAGGTTTCATCCCAGGGGCGGCTTGTTCCCGGCAGCCCCAGATGTTCTCGCCGTTTCCAGATGTTGCAAGTGAAAAACATTTCCCTGAAAAGGTGCCAGATGTTCCGTCCACAGAACAAACAGCCCAGGATTATAAATATCAGCTGAGGTCAGCGTGGGGGCCACCGTCCTCGGGTGCTGGTGGGGGTGTTTGGAGACCCCCCTGGCGGAAAGGGGGGTAATCCAGGGGTCTTTTCCTTTAGCAAAGCACCTCCTGGTGATTTAGGCCTTGGTTAGCGTTGGGGCTTGTGTCCCCCAAAGTTGGGAGGATAATTGGGGAAGGCTTGGTGTGTGTCTGTGTGTGTGTACATGGGGGTGTTGCCCAGGCTGTGTGGCTGTGGGTCTGCCCAGGAGCTGGTCCTGGGGCTCAGGGTGACTACAGGGGCACAAAGACTACACCAGAGGCAGCTGGCATCCTCCACACACACCCATATCCCCTGGAGGGGCACAGATGCAGATGTGTCCTTTGGACTCATTCCTATTCATGCCAGGCAGGGATCGGCTTTCGGGGGGTGGGGGGGCGCGCGGGGCCGCTGCCGGCAGGTTATTTGTCACAGTTGGGACCGTGCTGTTCCCTCCTGGGTGACAACAGCACCCAGCTCTGTCCGGTTCGTGATGCCTTTTCTTTCCTGGAACTTGGGGCCTGGGCATCCCGACATCTGGCGGCCTCCACCCCGCTTTTCCAGGAAGGCAGCTTCGAAACAGGAGATGGGCCCCCGGCTGGGTGGCTCAGTGGGTTGGAGGGTCCGATTCCCAGTCAGGGCACATACCTAGGTTGCAGGCTCGATTCTGCATCCGGATGCATACAGGAGGCAACTGATGGATGTTTCTCTCTCTCACTCCCTTCTTCTCTAAAATCAATAAGAACATATCCTCAGGTGAGGTTTGTATTCCTGGGCTGTTTGTTTGGTTCCTGGGAGGAGGCTGCTGGCTAACAAGGATGCAAGTCTGAATCCTGGCCCTGCTGTGTACCAACCAGAAAAGCTCTTCAGATTACTGAGTGGTTCTCAAAGAGGGTGGTCCCCGTCACCCACGGAGCATTTCAGTGGTCGCCAGGGCCAGGGGGCACTACTGGCCCCTTGGGCCAAGGGCACCAGAGGCCAGTGGGCGGGTCAGTGTCTCACAAAGCAGAATTCCTCTGCCTCACAGGCCCAGGTAAGCGTCACCTACTCTTAACCTTTCAGAAACCCACTTTCCTCACTTGCGTAAAACAGAAATCACTGTAATAATAGTTCTTCATGGGGAAGTGGGGAGCTTGGAGGGAAACCCTGTATCTGCTCAGGGAGGTACCCTCCAGGCGGTGACAAGTAGCATCGCTCCCTGGGGGTGGGGCCGATTTGGAAACATGAGCCTGCGATATCTGTGTCCTCAGAATCTGCCTCTTTTTCTGTCATTCAAAGCTCAGGGGAAAGGTGCGATGGGGCGCCCTGCAAGTTCTCCTGTCCTTCCTGATAAAGTGAGGAACCAGGACCCCAGGGAGGCCAGCACCCTGAGGGGCTCAGCGAGCCCTGAGGGATGCTGGGCCCCTCCCCCACGAGAGGAGAGCTGAGGTGTGGACACCTGGGGGACATGGCTGCGGGACGCGGTTGAGGGACATCAGGGTGGTCTGTGTGTGCCGCTCCCCAGCCCCCATGGGGGGGTCATGTAACCTCTGGGCCCAGGAAAAGGGGTGCAGATTCCTGAGAAAGACTCCATGTTCACTAGTTTGGAGGAATAGAGCCCCGGGAGCCAGGCATCAAGTTGTAGAAAACAAATTATATACAAAAGTCTATTCTACCCACTGGGATTATAGACTGAGCTCCCTACACATTTCTGTCACAGGCCCGTGGGACTCTGGGATTGCTGGGGTCGGGGGTCAGAGGCAGGGTCCTGGGAGGGATGGCACCTCTGAGGAGAGGGAGGGGCACCTTGGAGCCCCTGAGGGGGGAGGGGGGACAAGTGAAGGGGTTTCCTGAGTGGAGCCACTGGGGATGCTGGATCAGACATCTCTTTGCTCGGTGCTGTAATGGGTGGGAGGGGAGGGATGTGACTCCGGACCTTGTCCGGCCTCCAAGCCTTCTTTTAGGCAGAGGAGAGAACCTGACGGGACCAGAGGAGGAAGTTGGGAGCATCCTGCTCTCCCTGCCCCATGCCCCATGCCCCAGGCTCCACAGGTCTCCCTTACTCGGCTGCAGTCCCACCAGGCCCTCTTGCCACTTGCTGCCCTCAGCCCCCGGTCTGCACTCGGAGCTGCTGAAGGAAGAAGCCCACACGTTAGGGGCTCGAGGGGGAGGTTTATTGTAAGAACTGTACAAAGGGGCCCGTCAGCTGGCCTGGCTTGGGCCTGTGCGTATCCGGGCAGGGCACGGACAGCTGTGGGTCAGCCGGTGCGGAGCGGAGGGGGCACAGGCAGGGGGAGGCTCTGCGGTCTGTACACAGTCTGTATGCAGTCTATTCAGTCCAGCAGGCGCGGAGGTTCTTGGGGCCACGCCAGTCCGGGCCTGAGGAGGGACAGGCAGTGGGCAGGGTGCTGGCCAGGGAGCAGGCTGCCCCCGGAGGATGAACCTTCTGAAGGAAGAGCCGGGCGGAGTGGCGCCCCTTCCACAGAGGACTCAGGCAGGAGGCGGAGCAGGGCCGGGCAATGGTGAGACGAAGACAATCAACAGAAGGGAAGATCATGGAGTCCCAGGGAGCGAGACAGGGACGCCCCGGCTGGGCGATGAGGAGGCAGAGGGCGGGACAGACAGAACAGAGGGCTCTGGCCTGTGGGCCACATACACACACACACACACACACACACACACACACACTTTGTTTTGGAGGTTTGGCTGCTTCCTGAGTTTTAATCAAACTGTTCACAAGAAACAAGAAAAAGAAGAGGAACTAAGGCCATCAGGGACTTGAACTTAGCACACATGTTCACACTCTACACACCCTCACGGCACAGGCACACTCACATGGCCAGGCCTCTACAGAAGAGACAGACACCACAGGGGCATACTGACACACATTTACACAAACATACCCAGACACACATGCACATGGAGGCATTGTGGGACACAGTGGTGTACACATTTGAACACACACACAAGTGGATCAATCCAGTGACCCCTCCTCCAAGCTCAGCCTCTAGCTGCTCTCCGGGAGCCAGTGGAGGCCTGGCACTGCCGTGCCCAGATCAGCTGTGCCAGCCAAAGGGCCCCCGGCATTCCAGGCAGCAGGAGGGTGGAAGGTTGGTCCTGAGCCGGGTGGGCTGGGCATGGCCCAGTGTGAAGTCTCTAACATGGGCTCATCTGTAACATTCTTAGGACCACTTTTGGGGGTGGGGAGGGAAGGCGGAGGAGTGAGGAGGGGAGGGAGGGAACAGGATGTTTGCTCCTGAGCGCCGGGGTTCCCACCCCGCCCCAGGT